TCCGTAGATTACAGAGTTTTTTACCTCCAGCTAGAATTGAACCGTTGACCTTATCTGTGAAGGGAGGTGCGCCTAGACCACTAGGCTACGGGACCCCATCCCGATAGCACAATGTATTAAAAAGGTTAGAAACCTAATTTTTATGTTACACTTGATCCGAATCTAACTGGTATAATAAAGCGATAGTAACATCATCGGGAAATTTGAAATCCGATTGTAACAGATTAAAAATCTGATAATTTTAATCAATTATTATCACTACAGTTAAAAATTATCATGCTTTGCAAAAAGATGTGACCGCTGCAGATCACAATATCATATGTAACCAAAAAATCAGGTACGTACAGTGCATACAGGAATTTAAAATTAAACATAATAACTCAAATATCGAGATATATGTCGCATCTGAAGTAGCGATTTATCTAAAGTAGCGCCTGTATAAAATCTACATAGATCTATAACTTTATATAACTGTTACATAAACTATTATATAAAAATTGTATGCATTAATTTTTATATATTATTGATATAAAATTTATATAAAAATCTATTTAAACTTACATAAATATAATTTTATAAAAAAATTTTATATAAATGTTATATGTTTATAAATTTTACATATTATAATTATATAACTTTTATATACTTTTAAAATTTAAATAAATTTTCTATGTAAATTTTATATATTAATAAATTTTATATAAAATAAATTTTTATATAATAATTATTACATATAAATCTATATAAATCTATATATATAAATTATATAAAACTATGTATATAAGATATTAATTAAAAATAAAAGTATTAACATAATATGAATTTATCACATCAAATTGTGAAACAATATGAACAACATTATTAATTGATGCTATTGGAATCATATTGTAAATGTTTGTTAATTGTACATAGGGGCACCCGTATTTGTAAAATTTTGAAGGGATATTAGGATATTTAAAATCATACCAACGAATAAGTGCAAGATCGAATATCGAAGTATTTTCTAAAACAATGCGAACCAATAATAAGACCTATAAAATTAAATAATTATGTAAAATATATATTTACCATAGATTTTTTTTTATTGCTACTTAACAATAATGATAATTCTACAGTTTGATTCATAAACGTATAGTAAAATAACCAATCGCCATAATAGTAAATAACCAATCGCAAATCATTACATTCAGACTATCATGTTTTTTAAACATATATTATGTAAAAAGAATATATTTATTTTAAATATATACCTTCGCAAAGCAATATCCATCATATGTCTCAAATTTTTCTTGCTCTGAGTCCATAAAAACAGCAACATCACTAAACATCGGTGCATTATAGTAATTTTTTGTAGCTCTAACTTGTTCATTATTAGTTAATGCGAAAGATTCATATAAAATTAAATTAGCTCCCGTCTTTTCCATTTGTGTTTCAGACATAGGAGGCAAAAGTTTAAAATAATCGTTCAGTGCGGGAATAAAATGGCGTAAACCTTCAAGAATTTCGGGGATGCTTTCTTCATCATGTTTATATGACTCAACAAGTGACTTTAAAAGGCGTAAAGGTATAGTACAATACTTTTTTCCAAAATTTCCCATATCTTTTTTACTTTTAGATTGATAAATTTTTGGAACAATATGCTTATAAATATCTCTGATTGTAATCGTTCGTATTACCTAACAAGTATGATATTAGCATGTACATACAAATTAAAAATTAGGGTAGCTGCGCAACGTGTGACGCCGCGCAGGACCAGTACAATCACGTATGCACGTGTAAATTCGATTATT